TGGAAAGTTTTGTTTATTTTCCTTCTTTCTTGGAGATTTTTTTGTTTATTGTTGTTTTGATCTCTTTTGGCCTATATCTATTGGCTAGCTCTGACTATATACTTTGTCTCTCCCAGACAAAAAGAATGAATATATTTTTGTGGGTTATGTATGGGTTAACTGTTTGTGACTTTAATTTGGAATGGTGACTTGAACTAGACTTGAACTACACATTTGGATTTAGATTGATTGATTCAGAATGGTTATTGTTTTTGGATAATCCTCATTTTGTTAATAATTCTAATTATGGATTTTGGATTGTGGATTTTGATTTGATTCACTTCTGATTAGTCATCCATCTCCAATGCTTTGGATTATGTTTTGTCTTTGCAGGTGGTTTTTTCAAGGCGGGTTATATTGTTAGGGTTGATTTAGACTAGTTTTGTAGTGATTTGTTTCGTTAGTTTTTGTGTCTAGTGCATGTGTTTGATAAGAAAATTTGTTAGAGTCTTTTGTTCGAGAATTGGCAGAGGAAGCGATTATTAGGTCCCTTCGTGTTGCCAATTCCATGAACAAACATGGTTGATTAAGTTGTATATTTTCCTTGGATTTACTTGACCACTCGAGCGGTGAAACTATCGCTCAAGCGAAGATGTAATTCTCTCAGAAGTTTCACTCACCTGCAAAATTACTAAGAAGTGTTATTGTTTGCTCGAGCAAAGTGTTATTGTACACAAATTACTAAGAATCTTTGGTCCTAGAAATTTGAACTAACTGCAAAAATACTGAAAAGACTCCAAGTTCGCTCGAGTGAACCAGTTGGTGGCTCGGACGAAGGGACTTATGCAGAACATGCGTTCAGGCCACACCGCTCGAGCGACCATTCCATGGCTCAAGTGGTGATTGCGACTTTGCTTACTATAAAGATGCGATCAAGTTTGTTTCTAGGGTACGACTTCTAAATCTTCTTCTTGGGTATTAGGGTTTTCATCTGAAACTTCTTTGTTTCTTTCCTTTGATATTTGTGAGAGTTTATATCATGAATTGAATGAATTATATCAAAGGGTTTGTTTTTTTATCGTTCAATACAAAAGAGTTCTTCTTTGGTGAATTCTAAGGGTTCGAGCTTGAAGTCTTTGAAGGAGTTCGAAGCTGCTCATGGTCGTGGATTTGACATGAATGTTGTGGAGTCGATATCAAGCTAATCAATTTCGAGACGAATGCGTTGGTGAAAGAGGCACGAATTGTTGAAGACAATTTTACAAAGTTTAGATAAATTGTTTGGTAAATTTGTGTGCTTTTATTCTTCATAGTGGATTGATTTGTGGCGTTTCGCCTATGATTTTTTTTCACAATTGGAGGTGCTCCAACTGTGATTTTTTCCAACGTAAAAATCGTTTGTATCGATTTATTAATTGTAAAATAACAATCTAAATTATTTTCGTATGTGTTAGATCATTTAGATTATTAGTTTTAATTGTTTGAGATTTATTGCAATTAAATCTATTATGAATCACGAATCACGTAAGTTTTTCAATATTATTATAATAAAATTATCTAATAGCTTTTATTTGGTCCAACGATGATAGAATACACCATTCAAGTTTTTGAGTTAGCTAAAATATTAATTTATTAATTAAAAATAAGGAAACAAAAAAAAAATAATCAGTGTATTTGATTTCAGTTTTCTAAATTTAATTTTTTTAAAATTGAGTTTTTTTTTTAGTGAATATTTTTTAAATTTTAGGTAATTTTTTTATTTTTTAAGATGCACCTTACTTAGATGTATCTAAATAGTAATATTTGTGAAAAAATATTTTTAAAAAATAATAAATACACAAAAATACAAAAATATATTCAATTATTGTTTTTTTTTATTTATATTTTTTGGTATTTAGGGTATTTTTTAAAGATTTTTTTCACAAATATTATATTTTTTCAGTGTATTTATGTTAGGCATGTTTAAAATTTAAAAAAAAAATTTGCTTAAAATATTTTAAAAAATCATTGAAATGAAAACATTAAAACATGAAAAATAAAAAAGTATACTTTTTTGAAAACTGTTTTCTGAAAATCAAAACCAAACAAGCTGAATAATACTAAAAAAATTAATTCATTTGATATATTCTTAATTTTTTTTTTCTACTGAAATTTTAAAATGACTAAAGTTTATTTTTTAGCAGAGAATAGAAACGTCTTGAATGATATAAAAAATAAAAATAAAAATAAAAAAATTAACAAATTTGTATTTTTTTATTTTTTTTTTTTAATATGAGATTTTGCTTCTCTTGAGATCAACAATATTATAAATTTAGACTTATAAATTTAAAATTTATTCAGGAAAAGAAATTAATTATTTAAATTCATTATTTATAGACCTCATATTTTATCAATTTAATTTGTATTATATAAACACATTCGGTATAAATTATGAATTGATAAAAATAAATCGATAGCATTTTTGTATTGAGATTACAATAATGTTTGGGAGTTCTAATTTGAGAGTCCTAATGCAACTTTAATGATGTGGAGAACATCCATGTGAAGGTAGAGTCCACACTCCTCTCTCTCTCTCTCTCTCTCTCTCTCTACTGTCTCTCTCTTCCATTTCACTAGTGCTCCATTTAAAATTCTCAAATTAGAGATATGTATCATTAATATTATTTTATTATTATTTTATTTTTTTGATCATATGAAAGCAAACAGAGAACACACCAAAACAACGATGTTAGGTGACCCGAAAAAATATGACTCAAATGACTCAAAACACTCAAAATAACATCATTTTAAATGTAAAACGACATCGTTTTAATACATTCAAACCATTCGAACCACAAAAATTCAGGTCAGTAAACATTTTTTCCAAAACAAAATTGACTAGACCAACCTTAGACTCCGTTTGGGAAGAGGTAGATTGGGTTTTTTTTGGCTATTTTAGCCACAAAAGACAAAATATGTTATTTTAGTCACAAAAAATAAAACATCACATCCAACTCATAATTATTATACTCTTCTCTCACAAAAAAAGTCAAAAAAATCAAAAAATTAAAAAATTCTTTCCAAACTAAATTTTTTAACCCAAACTAAAATAGTCAAAAAAATTAAAAAGTCAAAAAATTAACCCACCTCCCAAACCAACCATTAATCTATATAATATGGTAGAAAGGTTTTTGAAAATGTCCCAAATGTATCAGAGATACATTTGGTTTTAAGGGCCAAGATGAATCCTGAGTTCATATATGTTTAGATCAACGGTCTATATACATTTTCCCACCCGTTTGAGTTCATCTATCCCTCTCTCCCACGTCCCCAAACACGTTCTCTTTTCAGCTCCCTCTCTCTCACGTTCTCTGTCACATTGTCTCTCATCACCACAGCCATTGAAGACCCTTCGAACCCTTCGATACCCACCTTCCCTCTTCGATACTCAACCCTTCGATACCCACCCTCACTCTTCGATACCCAACCCTTCTCTTCGACCTGACCGAGGCTGTCACCGACCGAGCCTCCCTCCATCCGACGATCGAGTTGAGTCTCTCTCTCCGACGATCGAGTCTCTCGCCTGACTCGCTTCTCGCCTCTCAGTCCCGCCGGACTCTCTTCTGTCGACGGATCTGTCTTCTCTCAGCTCTCTCTCTCCGACCAGCCCGATTCTGTCCACCGACTCCAACCTACAGGTATATAACTACAAATTGAAATCTGTTGTTGTTGTAGAATTAGTTTTTTTTTTAGGATTTTTTTAAGGGGGCAAAAAAAAGAAAAGTTAAATCTGTTGTTGTTGTTGTAGAATTTGGGATTTTTTTTTTAGGGTTTTTTGTAAGGGGAAAAAAAAAAGAAAATTGAAATGTGTGGTTGTTGTAGAGTTTTGTTCAAAAAAAATTTTTTTTTGTGACTTATTGCTCCTCTGTGGTGTGGATGTTCTTTGTTATCAGGTGGATACGCTGCTGGATACTATAGTTCTATCCAGTAATCCTTATAAATTTTACTGCGTATTTTTCATGGGTTCTTTTGTGCTTTTATGTATATCAGCATATGTTTGTCAATTGAATGGGTGGGCTTTTATGTAAATTGTAAAATATTTAGCTGATTTCACTTTTGATTTTAAAGTCAAATATTCGAAGAAATAATGAAAAATATATAAAAGAAACTTCTAAATCACCATACAAATGTTCAAACCTTTACATAATTAAAAATCAAAAAGAAAACTAAATAATTACATGGCTAGGGTTTCATCAAAACTCTAGAAAATGTGATTACCCACTCATGGAGGAGTGGAAGGAGGTAGATAGAGAAGGAACCACCATGGAAGACATCCTTGAAACTTTTAGTTTTCTCTTCCCTTCCAAACCCTAGCCTCTCTCTTTAGGTCAAAACAAGTTCAAAACCCTAATCCAGCCTTTTCATTGCCTTTTTATATTTTTGATCCCTTCCAAACAGGTTTAAAACGTCGGGTTGACTTTCCCAGAAAAAGTCAACGTACGTGCGGGAAAGTCAACGCACGTGCGGGAAAGTCAACGCTCTCAAAATTCTGTCTTTTTGTCCATTTTATGCTCTGACTATGTACAACCTGATTGACATTCAACACACATAAAGTATACAGTTTGACCAGCAAGTGAAGTTAAACAATTCTAATTAACGGCCTCAATGATGTACATTTCGGCCTTAATCAGATATGTTCGACAAATCTTATAATATGAGCGATTCGAATTATTAAAATAGTCTCGAGACATCACAAGGGTTCACAAGAAAATGTTAGAGATCCACAATTAAGATCTCTAAATTTATTTACAATGATGTGGCAAACGTATTGGACCCTACATAGTTAATCTATATAATAAGGCAAGAGAGATTTTGAAAATGTCTTAAAATGTATGTGAGATACATTTGGTTTTAAGGGCCAAGATGAATCCTGAGTTTAGATCAACGGCCAAGATGAATCAGAGATACATTTCTCACCCGTTTGAGTTCATCTCTCCCTCTCTCCCATGTTCTCTTCAGCTCCCTCTCTCCCACGTTGTCTGTCATAGTGTCTCTCATCACCACAGCCATTGAAGACCCTTCGAACCCTTCGATACCCACCCTCCCTCTTCGATACCCACCCTCCCTCTTCGCTACGCTACTCCTCCTTCCCTTACAACCCTTCTCTTCTACCTGACCGAGGCTGTCACCGACCGAGCCTCCCTCCATCCGACGATCGAGTCGAGTCTCGCCTGACTCGCTTCTCGCCTCTCAGTCCCGCCGGACTCTCTTCTGTCGACGGATCTGTCTTCTCTCGGCTCTCTCTCTCCGACCAGCCCGATTCTGTCCACCGACTCCAACCTACAGGTATATTAGTTTTTTTTAATTGAAATCTGCTATTGTTGAAATCTGCCTCCCTCCATTCAATTGAAATCTGCTTTTGTTGTAGAATTAGTTCTTTTTTTAGGATTTTTTTAAGGGGGGAAAAAAAGAGAGAAGTTAAATCTGTTGTTGTTGTTGTAGAATTTGGGATTTTTTTTTTAGGGTTTTTTTGTAAGGGAAAAAAAAAAGAAAATTTAAATGTGTTGTTGTTGTAGAGTTTCGTTCAATTTTTTTTTTTTTGCGACTTATTGCTCCTCTGTGGTGTGGATGTTCTATAGTTCTATCCATTAATCCTTATAAATTTTACTGCGTATTTTTCATGGGTTCTTTTGTGCTTTTATGTATATCAGCATATGTTTGTCAATTGAATGGGTGGGCTTTTATGTATATCAGCATATGTTTGTCATATGTTTTTCATGGGTTCTTTTTTGCTTTTATGTATATCAGCTTTTATGCTTGAATGAAATTTTATTCAATCAATCCCCCCCTTGCCTTTGAAATTTTATTTTAGCTTATTTTTCATGGGTTCTTTTGTGCTTTTATGTATATCAGCATATGTTTGTCAATTGAATGGGTGGGCTTTTATGTATATCAGCATATGTTTGTCATATGTTTTTCATGGGTTCTTTTTTGCTTTTATGTATATCAGCTTTTATGCTTGAATGAAATTTTATTCAATCAATCCCCCCCTTGCCTTTGAAATTTTATTTTAGCTTATTTTTCATGGGTTCTTTTGTGCTTTTATGTATATCAGCATATGTTTGTCAACTGAATGAGTGGGCTGAAATGTTGAAATTGGACTGTTTACCTGTGAAATTTCATTCAAATTGCAATCTTCTCACCCTTTCAAACTTTTTTTGGAACAGTGATCTACGAAAAAAAAAAAAACCAGAAGTTTACATTGCATATATAATTCAAGAGGTGAATTCTGTTTAGGTAAGTATGCTTGGAGTTCAATTTTTTTTTGGGTTATTGGTTTTGGACATTGAGGGGCACAACTAAAGCGTTCTTTTCATTCTGTTTAGGTAAGTATGCTTGGAGTTCAATTTTTTTTTCTTTGTTCTTTGTGCATCATAAGTAATTGTAAATTTTAAAATATTTAGCTGATTTCACTTTTGATTTTGAGATAAGAATAGTTTTTGTTGGGTTTTCATGTGTTTATTGATGTGTTGCATTTATGTTAATGTGTTTGTTCTGGAATTGAATTTGTGAACTTCCTTCTCTCTCTGCATTGTAAATGTATGATGAAATGCTTGAATGAAATTTTATTTTAACAGTAACTTACATCAATCCCCCCCTTGCCTTGAATTCGCATCATGTCTTCATTTACCAGAAGTTTACATTGCATATATAATTCAAGAGGTGAATCTACCCCATCAAACTAAAAATCTAGCATTTTTTTTTGGCTTATTGGTTTTGGACATTGAGGGGCACAACTAAAGCGTTCTTTTCATTCTGTTTAGGTAAGTATGCTTGGAGTTCAATTTTTTTTTCTTTGTTCTTTGTTCTTTGTGCATCATAAGTAATTGTAAATTGTAAAATATTTAGCTTATTTCACTTTTGATTTTGAGATAAGAATACTTTTTGTTGGGTTTTCATGTGTTTATTGATGTGTTGCATTTATGTTAATGTGTTTGTTTTGGAATTGAATTTGTGAACTTTCTTCTCCCTCTGCATGAAATTTTACATCAATCCCCCCCTTGCCTTGAATTCGCATCATGTCTTCATTTGAAAGCCCACCTCTTTTCAAAGTATTAGTAAATATGTCAACCAAACAACAGATATATACATGTCTTCAATTTGTGTTTATTTGATTGCATGGAACTTCTCTTGAATCGATAGCCTCACTTTTACTTTTTAATTTCTCTCTCTCTCTCTCTCTCTCTCTCTCTCTCACTCACTGTTGGTTGATTTTAGGTTTTTATATCTGGATTGATGGATCATACTATTTTATTTTGTTTGTGTTTAAGGCTTCAAGGTCGTTTCTTTGTTTCTGGAGCGGTATACTTGAACTGCAAAATTGAGTTGATTTTAGGTTTTTATATCTAGATTGATGGATCATACTATTTTCTTTTATTTTTGTTTGTGTTTAATTTCCTTATATTGGGATTGAAGAGTTTCTTTGTACATTGATGTTTTGATTATTGGAATTGTTGGGCTTCAAGGTCGTTTCTTTGTTTCCGGAGTGGTATACTTCAACTGCAAAATTGAGAAAGAACAATCACTAATTGTTATTTGTTATTTGTGTTCAAATGTGGTGAGATAGAAATTAACTTATATTCTCATAGAAAACTGCAAAGAAAACTCTTCAACTTATATTCTCAAAGGCATTTTCATTTCAGTAGAAATTAACTTCAAATTCTTGATGCTTGCACTTCCAATAGTCTACATGGAAATTCAGTATTAACTCCTTCAGTGTTAAAAAGAAAATTCTTATTAAAGTCATTAAGAAGTCTTGACTGATAATGCTCTTGAGATTTCATATACACATAAGCTAGAATGTTCTATCCATTAAAGCTTTATTTCAATTTATTTGGAAGTTGCAATATGAATCTGTTACCTTTTGATCTTGACTGATAATGTTATTTGAATCTGTTACCCTCACGGAAGAGCCAAGGGCAAGGGTCTGAAACTCCCATCCCATCCATCATTGACCACCTCTCTCAAACTTTCTGAAATTCTCCTATTCTCCCTACCAATAATTGCAACAAAGCTATAAAAAAAATCAATTAAAAAATATATAAAATGAAAATCTTTGATCCTTTGCCATAAAATGAAAATCTTTCTTCAATAAAGCTCAAGTTTTTAGTTATTTTATTCTTTATTTGGTTTCATATAAATGAGTGTGTTTTGAGAAGAGTTAGACCGAATGAGTGTGTTTTAAAATTTGAAATCTGAGAAAATGAGAGAGCGAGAAAGGACCGTCTGTGGGTGGGTGGGTGGTGCAGAGTTTTAGGCTTTTTTTTTTATTTTATTTTATGTGTGGGGCTCTTGGGCGCATGTATAATTTGACCTCAAATTTTTTTTTTTTAACAAATTATATTTTAGTTTTTTTTTGTTAGAAATGTGATATAGAGAGAGGGAGTGTGTTTTGTGAGTGTGTGTGTCAGTGAGAAAGGGACGAGAGGAAGAGAGAGAGAGTGTGTGTCAGTGAATGTGTATTGTTTTTATTTAAAAAAATAAATCTAAGCCGTTTATTTTTTTATAGGTGACGTGGCTCTATCTGAGCCGTTGCCCGGAGGAAGAGGCTAGAGAGGATCCGGACTCTTCTTATGGATGGGTAGCACTACACCATTTTTTAGAAATATATATAACAAAGTAGTTGACTCATATCAATAGTAGTATCAACTCCTCTTATATACTAATGAATTGAAATTCATTCTGTTCTCATCTGCAAATCCCAATTCCTCAAATCTAAGCATAGTTCAATTCCAAGTCTGGTGACTCTTCTCTGCATAACAAAACCATGCAACTCAAAGGTAATACTCTCTCTCTCTCTCTCTCATAGTAGTAGCAGCAGCAGCAGTAGTAACAATATTCTCTCAAATTCTATCATTAGATGGGCATATCCTTGCACACATCCTGGCTGCAACCTCCATTGGAGTCATCTCTGCCACTGCGTTTCACTACTACCATCGACAAAAGCCCCAAAAACAGTTGGAAGATCAAACCATAGTTCCATTGTTAGACAGGAATGAGTCTGGCCGTGTTGCCAAACTTGAAAGATTCTCCAATCATGTTGGTAAAAATCTATTCATCTCCATTCTTCTTTTCTTCTTCTTTTTTTTTTCATAATGTTTTTCTACTTTACAACAACTAAAATGTTTTATTGTTTAGGATTTGAAGATGGAAGTGAATGTCCCCAACTTTGCAAATTAGCATATAAGTACCTCAAAAAATCCAAATTTGAGGAGCCAAATGGAAGCTGCAAATTAGCATATGCAAATTAGCATATGTCCCCAACTTTGTTTATGGAAGTGATCTATGAGTATTTTGCTGATGAGCCAAATGTTGATGAGCTGCATGTGAAGTTGGTTGAGGAGTTTGATAGGTACATCCTTGCCTACTTTGCATTTCATTGGAGCCAAGCTTCTCTCATGATCAGTCAGGTAATCGAAAATTTTACTTCAAAAATTAGTCAGAAAAAATATTGAATCGAAAACTTTACTTCAAAAATTAGTCAGAAAAAATATTGAATCGAAAACTTTACTTCAAAAATTAGTCAGAAAAAATATTGAATCGAAAACTTTACTTCAAAAATTAGTCAGAAAAAATATTGAATCGAAAACTTTACTTCAAAAATTAGTCAGAAAAAATATTGAATCGAAAACTTTACTTCAAAAATTAGTCAGAAAAAATATTGAATCGAAAACTTTACTTCAAAAATTAGTCAGAAAAAATATTGAATCGAAAACTTTACTTCAAAAATTAGTCAGAAAAAATATTGAATCGAAAACTTTACTTCAAAAATTAGTCAGAAAAAATATTGAATCGAAAACTTTACTTCAAAAATTAGTCAGAAAAAATATTGAATCGAAAACTTTACTTCAAAAATTAGTCAGAAAAAATATTGAATCGAAAACTTTACTTCAAAAATTAGTCAGAAAAAATATTGAATCGAAAACTTTACTTCAAAAATTAGTCAGAAAAAATATTGAATCGAAAACTTTACTTCAAAAATTAGTCAGAAAAAATATTGAATCGAAAACTTTACTTCAAAAATTAGTCAGAAAAAATATTGAATCGAAAACTTTACTTCAAAAATTAGTCAGAAAAAATATTGAATCGAAAACTTTACTTCAAAAATTAGTCAGAAAAAATATTGAATCGAAAACTTTACTTCAAAAATTAGTCAGAAAAAATATTGAATCGAAAACTTTACTTCAAAAATTAGTCAGAAAAAATATTGAATCGAAAACTTTACTTCAAAAATTAGTCAGAAAAAATATTGAATCGAAAACTTTACTTCAAAAATTAGTCAGAAAAAATATTGGAGTAGTTGAGATTCATTTTAAATTAGGTCCCACTATACGTGTGTATGTTTTTATAAATGCTTCAACAACAATATTAGGTAATTGGAAAATTTAATTAGAAAATTACAATTTTTTTTTTTTTAATGATGGAGATTCATTTCAGGTTGGGCTTTTGATGTTTCAATTGCTTATTTTTGTGTTTTTGCAAATGTTTCAATTCAACAGCAATGTTAAGGAATCAGAAAATTTAATTAGAAAATTACCCAAAAAAAATATTGAATGATTGAATTTCATTTCAGATTGGGCTTTCTGATGTTTCAATTGCTGAATTTTCATTTCTCCTTGAAAATCTTTCATTCATTCTCTTCTTTTATTTTATTTTGGGAATGTGTGAATTGCAGGTATTGAGTATTGATTCTAATAAGAAAAAGTTGTGTTTTTGCAAATATATTTATGTTTGGGTACTTTTACAAAATGAATTTCAAAGTCAATAAATTTAATAAATTACATTTTAAATCAATACTTTTAAATTTAATTATATTTTAATCTTATAATTAATTTAGACACGGATATACATTTTTAAACCTCCAAATCAACCCTGGGGACTTGCTTGGTTAGAATCTATTAGCAGATAAATCAGTAGTTTGAAGGTGTTAAAATCTGAAGGTGTTAGAATCTATTGACAGAAGTTGAACTTTTTGAGCACTTTCAAGTTGTTGTAAGCTTTAAAGACTTTGGAAATTGGGTCATCAAAACAAAGACCATGCGGGCGGAATGTGATTGGTTGGACAGAAAAAGCAAGCAGAAAAAGCGATAGAGAGTGAAGTCTAAAATAATAAATAAATAAATAAAAGAATAAA